GCCCGCGGGGAGGCGGGTGGCGCTGCGGCCGGCTCAGGGCGGTGGTCGTGGTTGCATCCAGGCGCAGCACCGCCCTGGAGGTTTAAGGAGAGCGAGTCCGGTTCTAGCTCCGAGAAGATCCCTGGCCTAAGAGCAGAGTCAAGGTCGGTGGAGGCGGGGACGCTGGACCGGAGTTGCGGTAGCGTGGCGGGGAACAGAGGAAGTGAGGAAGGCAGGAGGCGCGGGCACAGCCACGGAGCAAGGTGCCCCAAGAGGAGACCGGAGCCCCCCTGGAGCCCAGGGGCCACCCTGTCCCCGCCGGAGCTCACGTTTAGTTGGGTCAGTTTTGGGGCCCCCAGTCCTCAGGCCACCAATGGCAGGAAGCTGGGCCCCGTGTGGACAGCAGACATGACACAAGTCAGCGCGGCTCCCGAGCCGATGGGGATCACGTCCCCCATGCCCGGATGCCCTGGAGAGGGATGAGGGTCGCTGGCAGAGAAGGTGTCTGTCGTGGCAGCTCATCAAGTCCAGTTTGGCTGGGTCAGCTGTGGAAGTGTCCACCGAGGAGGACGTCTGGCCTGCCCTGCCCTCACTGGTCTCTCTACTGTAACCCCCTGCCCTGGGACAGGTTTGGAGGTGCCTGTGGCCTGTGGTCCAGCCGCCACCCTTGGAAACACCGAGTGGCCTGCAGAGGGCGGCCTGGGCATGAAGATACCACTGGAGCACGGTAGTAGGTGGGGGCTAGAGGTTTGATCAAGAACAAAACCCAGCCCTCTGTGCTCACCACTCCACCACAGGGGCCAGAGGGGTCTCAAGGTGTTCAGTGTGCCCCCTCCCCCCAGGGACCTGCTGGCTTTGGAGGGTGCAGAGAGCTAGGGTAGATCCTAACATTTCTCCCCATCAGGCCCTGCCCCTGGGTCTAGCTTCAGGATCCACACACAGTGGCTTAGACTCTAAGCCATTAGCAGAAGGTCACCCTGTAAAAGGGGAGGGGGCCAAGCCCTAATGTGGGGGTTTGAAGCTCACTGGCACAGGTCTGGGGAAGTGGGCACCAGCTTTGTGGCCTGGGAGAGATGGGATGCTCAGGCCCCCCAGCTGGCTCTGAGGGTCTGAGCTATCAGGCCAGCCTCCTCTTCATGCAGGCCAAGGGCTTGGAGGCCTTAAGACAGGTCGCAGCATGAGGACGCACAGCCAGAGCATGGAGCCACAAAAGGGTCTATTTCGTTCCAGCCACGTGGGCGCCACACAGTTGATTTACATTCCAGGCAGGGGGTGCAGGAAGGTCCACTGACGTCGCCCAGGAGAAGGGATGTCCCTGAGTTGGTGCCCTGCGCCCACCCTCTGTTCTTCCTCTGCATGGCCCAGAGCAGGCAGGGCTCAGAGGCCAGGGCCTGACCTGGAGCCCCACCAGCTCCGAGGTTTCTGAGGGCACCGGGCAAGGGGGCCCCGGCTCCAGGCATCAGAGGCCATCCCCAGGTCGGCCAGAGGTCCTGTCCAGAAAGTTCAGGTGCTCCTCCAGGATGGGCACCCAAGAGCAGAGGCACGGGCATGGGGAGGAGGGTCCATGGAACCCAGGAGTCTGCTCCGACGGATGCCTTGGGATGCAAGCCCCAACCAAGGTCAAGGTGGCAACGAGGGTCCCCTCTCAGGTGGAAGGTGAAGGTGGTCCTCACTGCCACCCTGGAGCTCAGAGATCTTCACAGAGCCGTCTCCTTGGAGACCCTGGCTCCCAGCTGCCGGGGAGGCTTGAAGCTGAGCACCTCTTTGTAAGTAACACCTGGCGGGGGCGGGGGGCACGACAGAAACCAGGGTCAGCCTTTGCCTTCCATCCTGGGGTGTCACTCACAGACACGCCTGGCGGTGCCTCGTGGGGCCCTTCTCTAATCCTAATGTGGTCCAAACCACTGAGAGAAGGTTTGTGTGAAGAGGCCATTGCTCTAGATCCGGATTTTCCAGGGAAAGGGGAGGTGGCCAGGGCTTGGCCATGTGTCCACCACGGTCTGTCCTAAGAGCTGAGGCCCCAGCTACAGTTGTGTGGGTGGGGACTACAGAGAGGATCCTATGGCCCATGGTTTTCAAGTTATCTTTTTAGCAGGAGAAACCTTTAATCAAAGCCAAACTCATAAGCACACAACTAAGCACACACAGCGAAGGGTGGAGGCCCTGCTGCAGGCACCCAGGGACCCGTGGCCCTAAGGAGCACAGGTGAAGAATCTCAGTCCATCCAGCCCCACCCAGCCAGTGTGGAGGACCAAGGCCCTGCGCCCAAGGCAGAGCCAGGACAGGGCCTGAAACACAGCACTGCTCCCAGTGTCCACCTGCTGTCCCCGGGCACCCCCACCACAGGTTGGTCATGCAGCCATGAAGAAGACACAGCCTGCCATTCTGGAGCAAAAATGAAGCCAGGTCCAGCATAGCCTCAGGCCACAGCATAGCTGTGGGAGCTGGGGAGGCTTCCCTGAGTTCAGCCTGAGGCTGCACAGGCCTTGGCCAGCCCTCCAAGATGAGGGGATAGCTCCTGGTATAGGGGATGATGGACCCTAGTAGTTAGGGTTGGGGTCTGGACTGCTCAGGGGGGCTGGGGGAGACAGGTGAGGCCCTGGGGACTATCTTGGGTATATAAGACATACATGTCTTGTCCAGATGGGAAGGATCCTAAAATGGACCAAAGAGAGGGCCGGGCGCGGTGGCTCACGCCTATAATCCCAGCACTTTGAGAGGCTGAGGTGGGCGGATCATGGGGTCAGGAGATCAAGACCATCCTGGCTAACACGGTGAAACCCTATTTCTACTAAAATTACAAAAAGTTAGCTGAGCGTGGTGGCGGGCACCTGTAGTCCCAGCTACTCGAGAGGCTAAGGCAGGAGAATGGCGTGAACCCGGGAGGCGGAGCTTGCAGTGAGCCGAGATCGCGCCACAGCACTCCAGCCTGAGCAACAGAGCGAGACTGTCTCAAAAAAGAAAAAAAAAAAACACCTGGGGCAAGGAGAGGCAAGGACAGATTCACGAGATGTGAGGAGAGAGGCCTTAGGGACAAATGGACATGGTGAGGGTGGCACGGTGGCCCGGGTCTCTGGCTTGGACATGGCGGAAGGGCAGCAGGTCTAGGGGCCAGGAGGGGCTAAGTGGGCCCTGCTGCCCTGACTCACAGCTGCCCTTCACTGTTCCCGGCTCCTTCTGTGCCAGCCTCTGTGCTGAGCCTGCCAGGAACACCCTCCTTTCATCTTTCAGCTCCAGGCAGAGGTCATTTCCACCAGGCCACACGGCCCCATGCTGCCCTCTGGCCTCCCATTCTCCTCACCTGACCTGCATCCCAGGGACAGGGATCTAGGACTCTGAGCCTGGCCACCTGCACAGGGCCCACAGGGTCCACACAGGCCCTGCCCGAAGCCCGCCACCCACGGGTCCACACAGGCCCTGCCCAGAACCCCCAACTCGGGTCCACACAGGCCCTGCCCGGAGCCCCCAACTCACAGGTCCACATAGGCCCTGCCCAGAACCCCCAACTCGGGTCCACACAGGCCCTGCCCAGAGCCCCCCCACTCACAGGTCCACACAGGCCCTGCCCAGAACCCCCAACTCGGGTCCACACAGGCCCTGCCCGGAGCCCCCAGCTCACGCTTCCATTCATCCAGCGTGCGGTCCACGTCATCAAAGGAGTCGTCATACTTCTGGACCTGGGGCTCATCTTCCGTGTCGTGCAGGGACTCGAAGTAGGGATGGGCCAGTGCCTCAGCTGCCGTCACCCGCTGCTCCGCATCCAGCACCAGCATCTTCTCCAGGAGGTTCACAGCTGCGGGGGAAGGTGCGTCAGGCCAGACTGCGGGAGGCCCCACACTCCAGCACCTGGTGGCCCCCACACTAGCCAGCCCTACCCAGAGGGCTTGCATTGGTCAGGATGGAGGCAAAATCCTTCTTCTCCAACTCAGGGAGGCCCTTCATGTAGTTCTTGGCCTATGTGGAAAGAAAGGGTGAGGGGCCAACACCGAGGCCCGGGTCCGCCCCCACCCCCACCCAGCTCCCTACTCACCACTGACCTCATCACTCTGCAGCCGCTGCACAAACTCAGCTGGAGGCGTCCCTGTCACTTTCATGATCTCCTTCAGCTGGTCCAGGTCTGCACTGAGGTCAGGAGCACAGCTCGGGGGGCCAGAGATCAGGGCCCTCACTGCCCCCATCTGGGCAGGAGCCATCCCCACCCCCCCAGAACCCCCTACCTGGGCAGGAGCCATCCCCAACCCCAGAACCCCCCACCTGGGCAGGAGTCATCCCCACCCCCCAGAACCCCCAACCTGGGCAGGAGCCATCCCCACCCGCCCCTGGTGCTGCTGGAGGATACGGTCGCTGCCCTTGAACAGTGTCTTGCCTGTGATCATCTCCGCCATGATGCACCCCACAGACCAGATGTCCACTGAGATAAAAGCCATGGTCAGCCCCGTGGGCAGGGGGACGAGATGAGACGGGGAGGGAGGAAACACAGACACAGCCCACCCACCCGGCTCCCACCCCAGCTCAACAGCCTCCCTGGGGAGCAGCCACCACAGGGCTCTCTGTGAAGAAGTAGAGAAGCAGATGGTGCAGCCCGAGAGGCCCAAATCTCTAGGCAGCTTCTCACCCGTCTGCGTGTATCGCATCCAATTCAAGATGACCTCGGGTGCCCGGTACCACCGGGTCACCACATAGCCAGTCATCTCGCTGTCTGCCTGCCTGGCCAGGCCAAAGTCCAGGATCTGCGGGAAGAATCGGGGAGGTGGGTTCTAGGGGACTCCCAAGGAGCGGACAGGCCACCCATGGTCCAGGAGACCCCGGGGGGGTTGGACTCGAAGCCCCAAGCTGGGGCCTCCTGACAACCTTTGAGGACTTGAGGCCAAGCCCTCGGACCCCAAACTGCGCGAGTTCCTCCCTTTGGCCAGTGCACCGAGCCCAGCTGCCCTTGGGATGGAGCAGGGGCCCTGGGGCTCCCCTCTCCCTGCTGTCACCTGCTGCCCACCAAGGCCTCAGCCCTGTCCTGGACCAGGCAGGGGCCTGGGGGCGCCTCCCACCCTCACCCGCTGCAGGTATGGCATGTGGCATACCACTGCCTCCTGGGGCTCACCCACCCACCAGCTCCTCAGCCACTGCCCAGAGCCTGGGGCCTTGGCCCCCTGCTCAGGCCTGACAGGTGGATTGGTGGGCAGATCCGGAGGGGCCCCTGCCAGGCGGCACACACCTTCAGCTCACAGTCTTCGTTCACAGCCAGGTTGCCAGGCTTCAGGTCCTGGGGACAGAGGAAAGGTGGCCACTGTGCCCCACCCTCCCGAACATGGGTACAGCCAAGAGCCTGGGTGGCACCTAAAGATGGGGCCACCAGACCTGGCCCCCTTGCTCTCTGCAGCCCTTTAAGGACAGACCCAGGTACCTGGGCATCCAGGCAGGCTCCCACCAGGGGCTGTGCATGAGGCGTGGCTCAGCCCCCCCAGACCCCGTCAGCCCCCCCAGACCCTGTCAGACCCTCACAGGTAGGACGTGGAGGCGGGGGATTGCGCTGGGGGAGGGCTGATGGGTGGCTCCTCCACCAGGACTCACTCTGTGGATGATGCCGGCAGCATGGATATACTGCAGGGACAGAAGATTCGGCAGGTTTCAGTGCACCAGGGCCTCAGAGCCACAGGGCCCTCCTCTGCCCAGCCCCGAGGCCCTGCCTGCCTCCCTGCAGCCTCCCCTGGGGCCATACCCTCAGCCCCTTCAGCATCTGGTACACGAGGAACTGGATCCGGTCCTCGCCCAGCTTCTCATGTTTCATGAGCTTGCCCAGGTCGGTGCCCATGAATGGCATCACCAGGTAACTGTGGGAGGGGCCGGAGCACCATCAGTGGGCAGAGCCAGCCTCTGCATCCCAGAGGCCTACCCAGCAGGCCCAGGCTCAGACCCATCCGGGATCCAGCAGGTGCCCCCGGGAAGGTCACCCTGCAGCACCCGTCCCCACTAGCCTCGGCATCCTCACAACCCCACCTTGCAGTGCCAGGCTCCATCCTGCCCCAACTGTCACTGCCAGCAACGCTCATACCTTCCTCCCACCCTGAGGACTGTCAGACAGGCAGGAGGCTGCCCTTTGGGGTTTTTGTTTTTGTTTTTTTTGAGGCGGATTCTCGCTCTGTCCCCTAGGCTGGAGTGCAGTGGCCGGATCTCAGCTCACTGCAAGCTCCGCCTCCCGGGTTCACGCCATTCTCCTGCCTCAGCCTCCCGAGTAGCTGGGACTACAGGCGCCCGCCACCTCGCCCGGCTAGTTTTTTGTATTTTTTAGTAGAGACGGGGTTTCACCGTGTTAGCCAGGATGGTCTCGATCCCCTGACCTCGTGATCCGCCCGTCTCGGCCTCCCAAAGTGCTGGGATTACAGGCTTGAGCCACCGCCCCGGCCTCCCTTTGGGGTTTTTGAACCCTCTGCTAAAGCGCCCTGCGTGCCAGGCTGGGGCTGAGGCTGCAAGGCTTGAGTCTTCACAGGCAGGGGAGGGAGGCAGTCAGGTTTCAACCTCGGAACTTTGTGCCAGAGATGAGGGAGGTGCCTGGGGGTGATGGGGGCACGGCAAGGCATCTGGGTCAGAGGGGCTGGCTGAGCCGGTGGAGACGGACACAGGAGAATGGTATTTAGCACCTCCCCAGAGGCCACTGAGGCCAGCGTGGGTCCTTGACCTCTGCAAGTCAGGCAGGAGGCACCTGCTACCCTCTCCAGGCCTTCCTCAGCCTGGCCCTTCACTCTTGGCCGACAAGGTGTGAGTCCCGGGGTGGTCGGCTGCAGGGCAAGGGCAGGGTGGGTCCTCCCTACCGCTTCTCCCCCACCTGCTGGGAAAGGTCAGCAGCTCCAGTTACCGGCCACACACTTGGTGCCAGGGTCCCGAGCACGGGACCTTCCTGTTAACAAATGGTCAGGTCCAAGGTTCACACCTCCGGTGCCGGAGAGCCCAGGTGCCAGGCGTGAAGGGAGGCAGCAGCCCCAGCTCTGCCCAGCTGTGGGTCCCAGGACCATGTGGGGGAGGGTGTGGGGCAGACTAGTATGGGGGGGTTGGCAGTGTGCATCCCCTACTCAGGCTACAGGAAGAGAACCCCATGCCAACCTGGAACCTGAAGCCAGTGCCCAGAGCTGCCCACCACCCCTTGTGCCCAGCAGCCAGCCCAGGTCGGCACTCACAAGTCTGTGAAGTCATCCAGGGTCTCATCAGGAGTGAACACATCCAGCAGCCCAATCACCTGGGGGGCCGGATAGGGTTGAGAGTGCAGCGGAGGACACGGGCTGGGGCACCCCCCAAGAGTGGCACAGCCCTCTGGGCAGGAAACCCCCTCTGCAGCTGTCGTCATGCCCCACTGTCCAAAGGGCCTGGCTCTGCCCACTGGCAGCGTGGCCCAGCCCTGGCACACATACCCACAGACAGGTTATTTTTGGATGGTGACAGCCGGGATCTTCTGGGGGAAGGGCAACCCGGAGTCTGGGCTGGCTCTGAACCATCCAAAGGGCTCCTGCCACTTGGCCCTTTCTCCCCTCTTCTCCCCAACCAAGCAGACCCACACCCAGGGAAGGGATAGCGCTATGAGGAGAGGCCAGGCCTCTGCTGGTGAGGCCCAGGTGGACAGCACCATGACCCGCCAGACCTGGTCCCCACAGCACCCCTGGTTGGGGAGATGGACAGTGGACAGGTCATGTGATAACTGCTGCCTCAGCATTTTGGGGTGACAGGGTCCCAGGGAGGCCTGGAGAAGTTCTGCACAGCCAAGGATGGAGGGGCAGGTAGACATGTGGGCTGCGGGACACCCGGCAGAGGGCACATGCAGAGTGGCCAAGGCAAGAGGGAGAACACTTGGAGAGTTTGAGGAACACAGGGAGGGAGGCCAGGTGGCCAAGGCCCAGGCCAGGGAGGGGCTGAGGAGAGGCCAGAGGGAGCCGGCAGGGCAGCACACACCAGGTGAAAGTTTGGCTTTGATCCCAAGAGACAGGGAAGGATTTAAACGGGTGTGATGCTAAACGCGTCCTGCTGGCCGTGGTGTAGGGACTGGCCAGAGTGAAGCAAGAATGGACCTAAACTGGAAGGACAGCTCTGCCAGAGCCGTGGGCAAGAATGTGGAGGGAGGAGGAGAAGGAACAGAGGCCCGTCCAGGGAGGCCTGGGAGCAGCGGGGTCTGTGGACACGACAGCTGGAGGGTGCCCAGGAGAGCGCTTTGGCAGAAGTTGGAAAGCAGGGTCCTGTGGGCTAGGGGCCGTAGGACTTGGCTTGGCCTCTGTGGTATGGGGGCTAGCCTGGAGAGGGAGGTGGCATGGGGATGGCAGGACTGGGGCCTGTGGCAGAGCCTCCTCCCCCGCTGAGCAAGGCATATGGCCTCACAGAGCTTCAGTCTTCCAGGAAGATGGGGTTCCAGGGAAGGAGCCTCAGCTGCAGGCCGGGAGCCCAGGGGGTGGACCCCCAGGCACAGCGGGGACCCCAGGACAGCAGGGTGGTGGCTAAAGAAAAGCCCTGGTGGAGCCCAGCACGGTGGGTCACGGCTGCACTCCCAGCAGTTTGGGAGGCGAAGGCAGGCGGATCACGAGGTCAGGAGTTCAAGACCAGCCTGGCCAACATAGTGAAACCCCGTCTCTACTAAAAATACAAAAAGTTAGCTGGGTGTGGTGGTGGGTGCCTAGAGTCACAGCTACTAGAGAGGCTGAGGCAGGAGAATTGTGTGAACCCAGGAGGTGGAGGTCGCAGATCGCGCTATTGCACTACAGCCTGGGCGACAGAGGGAGACCCCATCTCAAAAAAGAGAAGCCCCAGTGGACAGGCGCGGTGGTTCAGGCCTGTAATCCCAGCACTTTGGGAGGCCGAGGCAGGGGGATCACTTGAGGTCAGGGGTTTGAGACCAGTCTGCCCAACATAATGAAACACCGTCTCTACTAAAAATACAAAACATTAGCCAGGCATGGTGGCATGAACCTGTAATCCCAGCTACTCAGGAGGCTGAGGCAGGAGAATCACTTGAACCCAGGAGGCAAAGGTTGTGGTGAGCCGAGATCATGCCATTGCACTCCAGCCTGGGCAACAAGAGCGAAACTCCATCTCAAAAGACAAAAAAAAAAGAAGAAAGAAAAGCCCCAGAGCGCTTGGCTGGATGGGGCAAGGCCTGAGCAGGTGAGTGAGTGAGTGGGTGGGTGTGTGGGGGCAGGGGGCAGGGGGCGGAGGGGAAGGCTACAGTCCTGGGGCAAGGTCTTGGTGTGACGGGCGGGATGGGGGAGTGCGGTGGTGGCAAGGTGGGGGCAGGGCTGGGTGTGACGGGGGTGTCGAGGTGGAGGCAAGGCTGGTGTCCACCGCAAACAGATTTCACAGGGCCCGGGGTGGTGAGCTGGGGTCAGGGTGGGCTATGGGAAGCCTCAGAGAAAAGGACCCACCCAAGGGGCTGAGAGAGTGGCGGTGGCCAGGAACTAGGGGGCGGGCGGTTTGCTGGTGGACGCAGGGACTCATTCTCCCAGGGCACCGGTGGCTCGGATGACCCAGGAGGGTCCAGAGCATCTCACACTGGAGCTAGGGTCCGGGCGCCCAGACCACCTGCCTTCAGGCTGGGCCCAGACCAGGGGCAGGGCAGGAGTGACATGCGGGGCAGTGGACAAGTGGGACTGTGTCCAGAAACCAGAGGGCCCCTGGCAGAGAAGTCAGGCTCTTAGCAGCCAGCCACTCCGTGGGAGAGGCCCAGGGCAGCTGTGCATGGCATCTCACAGGCAGGACTGGAAAGGATGGGCCCCCACAACGAAAGGGAGGGTGTCTGTGAGATGACCACCACGCCCAGTGCCCCCCAAACAGCAGCTCCCTGAACCCTTCACTCACCCCCAGGGGCTCCAGAGGGTTCACCATACTCCCTACGTTCTGGCGCCCCCCTCCCCCCCCTCCACCGGGTCGGAAGACTCGGGAGATGGACAGCAACAAAGTGGGCTCCACAGAGGCGCTGGAGAGGGGCCCGGATGGGAAAGAGAAGGTGCCCTTTCCAGGAAAACCCTCCTGCCGGGAGCATCCTCTCACCGCGGGCTTCCTGGCTGGGGGCAGGGTTTGGCGTGAGACCTGGAGGATCCCCTGGGCCTGGCCAAGTCGTGTCCCCTGACCAGGGCCTGGCTGAGGCGCCAAGTCAAGGGGCTCTTTCCCGGGCCTGGCAGAGGAGGGGGAATGGCCCTTGGGGGAGTCGTCTCCTTGCTCTCCTTCTCCCCTGGGGGCCCACGGCCCGACCCCCGCCCCGCCCCACAGCAGGTTGCCTGGGGAAAGGGTTGCCGGGTGGAGGGACCCAGCCCAGCCGAACCGAGCCGAGGCCGG